AATGAAAGAAAATTATGATAAAATATGACTTAAAGATTTTTATAATATCATTTCACAGTACTGTATATATAGCCTACTCAACTTACGACCAAATTGTGTTACAACCCGTCTGTCGGCACCAATCGTGGTCGTAAGTCGAGCACTAGCTGTAGACAAAAGGTGAGTCCCATAAATCACAGAATACCAGGGATCCTGCCTTCATCAGGCATTTACAAGCTCCTCCTTCCATGACATGCAGGACAAGTAAGTCTGTGTGGGACAGAGCTGATACACATGCTCAGCGGGAGAAGAACTTGTCTCATTTAAGGACACAGCTTTCAAGTAATGACGCCGTGCAGTATGCTGAGAAATGCAGCAAACGTGATTAGCTATTCCAATTACAGACATTTTAGCCAAGAGGAGTGAAACACACGGAAATGGTTGCACAGACAAGCATCCTCACAGATAAAAATTCCACAATTTACTCAAAAGGGGAACTTCTCAAAGCCAACTTTCAGCTATGCAACGGTAAAAACAAACCAAAAAAAAAAAAAAAACCCCATAATAGTTTCCTGGTTTAGTTGTCTTTCTAATCAAACTCACTTGGATTCAAATCCACTTTTGATTTTTACTCATCATACTCCTTAATTGTTTAATCAATTTGCTTTCTACCTTCAGCTGTGAAATAATGTCTTCTGTGTATACAGCATAAGGGGGCTATGAGCTATCCTACATCTGTCGAAAATGATAAAAATGTTACTGTGATTCCCCTGTGATGCTCTAGTACGCTTGGCGTCTGGAGTCACAGTTTCACTACCTCTGCGTCACCAGTGCACAGCCTTATCTACGGCCCTGGACAGTGTCCGACGAATACTTCATGAACTAAATGTCCTCCCTCCCCTCACCATTTTAAACACTGCAAATTACGATTTTTAAACCCATTTTTCTTTATTCAGTATAAAATGACATGTTCCTTGCTCTGTACTCTACAAGACATCATAGGAGTAATATTTAAAAAAAGGTAGAAGGTAGTATCATCCTCTCAAGGAACTTACACTCTACCTGCAGAGATCAAAACACCTGCACCCTGAGTGAGAGCTAATGAAGTACTAAATGAGTAGAGCAGATACACTGGTATCTGTGTCTTACTGCACGTGACCCAGAAACAAAAACAGGACTCAACCTGTGTTCAGTACAAAAGGAAATTGATTGGCTCACAAGACTACAAAGTGGAAAGAAAATGCTGGCTCCAGGCAAATGTGGTGCAGGGCCTGTCGTTGTCCCGGGCTCCATTTCCCCTGACTGGCTCCGTCCCCTGCTCAGCATGGTGGACTCTGGCATCTTTAGACTCACATCACCATGGCGTCTAGTCTATGGTAACAGGGAAACTCTCTCCTCCAAAAACACACACAAAATATCGTGCTCCTCAAGTTTCACTCACCGTATTGCCTTGCATTATGTTCTTATCGGGCACCAGTTCCCGTGGCTAAAGGGATTGATTATTGCTGATCAGCTTCCCCCAGATCAATGCTCATTTCTGCATCCTGCAGATGGACTTGTCCCGGAAGAATGTTAATAAGGCTGTGGTTAATAAGGGCGGTGATTCTCTTGAGGATCTTGTGAAATGCAGATTCAAATTCAGCAGCTCCAAGGTGGAGCCTGAAGTTCTGAGAAATGCCTATTCTGTATTGTGCAGATGGAGTTGTCCCTGGAAGAATGTTAAGAAGATTATGGCAGTGCATTTGATTCTCTTGAGGATCTCGTTAAATGAGATTCAGATTCAGCAGTTCCAAGGCAAGTCTGAAGTTCTGTCTCTCTAACATGCTCTGCCGCTGCTGGACTGATGCCACACTTCATCTTAGTTAGCAAGGGATTAGAGGACGTGTTCCCCAGGCACTGCTGGAAAGCGCTTGCTGCAAGAACGAGGGTGGATGACGAGTTGTAGAAATAACAAATCATGTTGACAATGAGGGGTTGAGAAGAGCAGCCTAAAGTGAGATGAGGGCTGGTCACGAGTGGTCTTACTAGTGTCCTGCTTGAGAGGGTGGCTCTGGAGCCAGGCTGCCCAGCATGGGGCTCACATCTTCCACCAGCTACTCCGTGCCTGCTTCCTCCACTGTAAGACTGAAATGATATAGCTGTTATGTCAGGGGGCTGGTAGAGGATTAAATTAGTTACTGCTACTAAAATACTTAGAATAATGCTGTACGTATACAATGTACTCTGTTAAGTTTGCTCCAATGAAAATAACTAAAATCAGCTACATATAAAATAAGTAATTATTGGGGGTAGCGTTTATTTTTCAATTTCTTTTTTTGTGAGATGGCCTTGCTCTGTTGCCCAGGCTGTAATGCAATGGCTCAATCACAGCTCACTGCAGCCTCAACCTCCCAGGCTCAAGCAATCCTCCCACCTCAGTCTCCCTAGGAGCTGGGACTACCAGTACCTGCCACCATGTCTGGCTATCTTTTTTTTTTTTTTTTGTATTTTCTTAGTATAAACTGGGTTTCACCTGTTGCCCAGGCTAGTCTCAAACTCCTGGGCTCAAGTGATTTGCCCACCTCGGCTCCCAAAGTGCTGGGATTACAGGCATAAGCCATCGCACCAGGCTGGGGATAGGGTTTTAAAAGGCGGTATCCATAGGCTAGAGTTAGTGGTTCTCAAATATTAACGTGTATCAATATTACCTGGAAGCCTTGTTAAAAAAAGACTCCTGGGCCTCATTCCCAGTTTTTCTGCTTCCACAGTTCTCAAGAAGCACCTTAGTCACCTCACCTCTAACAAGTTCTGCATTGACGTTGGGGCAGCTGGCGTGGGGACCCAAGTTTGTGAGCCATCAGGCTGGACTGTGTGTCTCAAACAGGAGGGCAAGTTGAATGGGGACTAGGAACCCACTCTGATGCAGAGGAAAAAGCATCATAATGCTGCATGATGAGGTAAAGTCTGCAGCTGAGAAAATGGGGCTATACAATGTTCATTCCTAGGGCTTGCCACTGCATAGCAGTGACATAGGAAAATGTAACCAGCAGTGGAAGTGCCCCATTGGTGTTCTCCATGCTTGAATTACCTTCTCAGATTATAAGTTCAAGATGTAAAATTCTTTCCTGTTTCCTTGTAGACCTGGCGATTTAATATTCCATTCGATCTTCCAGTCTTCGTAATCTAAGTTCGTCATTCATCTCCAGGTAAACTAAACACAGTAAAGAAATGAGACATGGGAGACCTCTCCTCTAGCTAAGGCTCAGCCTCCAGCAAAGCCTTGGGCACAGCACTCAGCTCTCCAGAGACCCGGAATCCTTGTCAGGTGAAGAGGAAAATAAACCGCCTTTACATTCTCCTTCTCCATGCAAGGCTCCAGATGCAGCACTGTAGAATTTGAGTAGCCCATTCTGTTTCTGCCTGTCTGCCTGGTTATAAAACAAGAAAGATGTTTCTAGTTATAGAACCCTTATTCCAGTGTGGGCCATTCATGTTCCTTCCAGAAATGTGAAATTTGACATTGAAAATTAATAGGTACAGATTCCTTTGGCAGCAGAAGCATGTCAGTGGCAATGCTCTGAAGTGTGGATTTATGAGATGACCCAGTGCCCCTGTGTCTTAAGGACTGACTGGCCCTTTAAAATTCACAAATCCTATCAAAAACACTCCCCCACATCCTTAATATTTTTTTGTTTATATTAATTATAGTTAGGGCCTATTAAGTACAATGCCAAAAGCAGCAAATTTTATTTCTTTAAAATAAAATAAAAATTTTATTTATTTGTGTCTTTAAATACAAATGATTCCACTGAACCTCCGATATCTGTAAATGCACTGAATAAAGGGAGTTAAAAGTATGTGAGACAAGTACCACGGCCTTCTACAGCAATCTCATCGGACTCTACCCCAATTTTCCAGAGAATTTTTGTAAATGTGTGAGAATGTTTTATTTTCCACCACATATGGGGATTAAGATTTAAGCAATTTTATAAATATCTTCAAGGACGGACTGTCTCATCAGATAAAGGATTTGAGGGTGATCTAGTGAAGGGATATCTTGATACCGTAATAAACTAGACAAACTCCCGAATTCACCTGCATTTTAAAAGCAGGCTTCCTCACGCGACAGTGCTTCTAGCCCTGGCGACTTGTAGCACTCATTTTCCTCCACTCCTCATGACTTTGGCCATATTTTTTTTCCCAGGGGAGATCAGCCTAGTCATCCTTGTTATATTTACTTATTTTTAAGTATAAATGTCCCTCTAGAGATGTCAATATGTTCTTCAGATATGTTGTTTAAAATGGACTGGTCAGGGCTGGGTATGGTGGCTCACACCTGTAATCCCAGCATTTTGGGAGGCTGAGGCATGAGAATCGCTTGAACCCAGGAAGTGGAGATTACTGAGCCAAGATCAAGCCACTGCATTATTGCCTGGGTGACAGAATGAGATTCCGTCTCAGTAAATAAATAGAAATATAGATAAGTAAGTGCATAAATAAATTAAATAGACTGTTCAGGAAAATATCTGGCATTATTGATATGTGGGTTTAATTTTAGAGTCAGCAAGAGAACACAGCATAAAGATGTGTTAGAAACTTCTTTAGAAAATTTAAAATTCTAATCGCTATACAATGGAGAGAAGCCCATGAAAAATACAGAACACATAAGCAATAATAGCTGAACCCAAACTAAGATTATCCTTAATCCAAAATGACTATTGCCAAGGAATACATGCTGTTACCCCTTTGGGTCCTATGAAGAATGTATGTCTCTTTCTTGAATTGTATCTCTTTCATGTGAGAAAAAGTTAGTTTGAAATGGTTTCATTAAAAAATGGTTGACTATGAGAAGTAAGCACTTGCTACATGTAAAACACATGGCTAGTCCTTACGGATAATTTTAAATGACTGAACATGGCAGGTTTTTGATCCTAGGGTCCACAAGCCATTGGTAAGTATTACAAGAAGTGTGAGAGGAAGCAAGTGACCCCACAAAGGTAATTTGGGAACTTAAGAGAAATTGCAGCATTTTAAGATAGGTATTTTAAAGATGAAAAGGGACTTTTAAAGGTAGAGTTAACAGGAAAATAAAATTTTTCTAAGTGAACGGGATAAGCATTATGGAATGTATGAAGACAGACGTTTCGGGGAGTGATAGGCTAAGAAGCAAGGTGATTTGTGTATACTTTAGAATACGTTCATGTG